GGGGGTTTGTGGGGGTTTTTGTGTGGGGGGGTTTTTTTTTTGGGGTTGGGTTTTGGTTTTTTTTTTGTGTGTGTGTGGGTGTGTGTGTGTGTGTGTGTGTGTAATGTCACATGGTTGTTTAACATATTTATAGATTGGGTTGTAAAAAGTAAATGTGGAGAGGGGTGGGATTACATTATGGGAAATCAAATACAAAGTGGGAGTTGACACAGTTACTTTTTGTTGATGATACTGTGCTTTTGGAGGATTCTAAAGAAAAGTTGCAAAGGTTAGTGGACAAGTTTGGGAGGGTGTGTAAAGGTAGAAAGTTGAAAGTGAATATAGATAAAAGGTGACGAGGGTATCAAGTGATATAGACAAAGAATAATTGGATATCACATTGGAGGGAGGGAGTATGGAAGAAGTGAATGTTTTCAGATATTTGGGAGTTGACATGTCAGTGGATGGGTTGATGAATGATGAAGTTAACCATAGAATTGATGAAGGAAAAGAGGCGAGTGGTGCTTTGAGGTACAGTTGGGCCCCGCTTTACGGCGTCCCGCTAATACGGTCATTTCAAATTATGACCAAAACTCGCTATGCGGCTCCCCCCACCTGACTTTCTAATACGGTCACCACGCCCAACCCGGTTTGCTTACATTCTCCATGAGATCCGTAAGCACTAAGTCTCTCCATTTTGTCTAGAAACTCCAAAATTTCAAGTGTATTTAAAAGTTATTTCATATTTTGTATATACAGTGGACCCTCAACCAACGATATTAATCCGTTCCAGAGAGCTCATTGTTAGTCGAAATTATCGTTAGTCGAGTTAATTTTTCCCATAAGGAATAATGGAAATCAAATTAATCCGTTCCTGACACCCCAAAGTATTGAAAAAAAAAAATTTTACATGAAATATTAATTTTAATACACACAAACTGAAGAAGACATGTACAATTACATGACACTTACCTTTATTGAAGATCTGGTGTTGATTGATGGGATGGGAGGAGGGGAGAGTGTGGATGGTGTTAGTGTTTAGAAGGGGAATCCCCTTCCATTAGGACTTGAGGTGTCAAGTCCTTTCCCTTCTTTTAATGCCACTAGGACCAGCTTGAGAGTCACTGGACCTCTGTCGCACAACATATCTGTCCATAGAGGCCCATACCTCCCGTTCCTTTATGACATTCCTAAAGTGTTTCACAACATTGTCAGTGTACAGGTCGCCAACACTGCTTGCAGTAGCTGTGTCAGGGTGATTTTCATCAAAAAAGGTTATCACACTATGTATGCCACTACGATTCTTAAATCTCTCAAACCAACCTTTGCTGGCCTTAAATTCACTCACATCACTAGTTGCAGGCATTTTTCTGATTAAATCGTCATGCAACTTCCTAGCCTTTTCACATACGATCGCTTGAGAGATGCTATCTCCTGCTATCTGTTTTTCGTTTATCCACACCAATAACAGTCTTTCAACATCTTCTATCACTTGCGATCTCAGTTTCAAAAACATAGTTGCACCTTTGGCAAGAACAGCTTCCTTGATTGCCGTTTTCTTGGCCACAATAGTAGCGATGGTTGATTGGGGTTTTATGTACAACCTGGCCAGCTCGGAGACACGCACTCCACTTTCATACTTAGCAATTATCTCTTCATATCCATAGTAATTCTCACCCCTTTTTGCTGTAGGGTTGGCACTAGAAGCTTTCTTGGGGCCCATGGTGACTTATTTTGCAGGTACAATCACTAAAAACACTGTGATAATATGAAATGTTCCGATTGTATGTTTGGATGGGACTGTGGTGGCTGGCTGGCTGGCTTGTAAACACTGGCGCGCTCAGTCCACAAGTGGACGCGTCCAGAATGGAACGAATCTCGTTGGTCAAATTTTTTAGCGCTAGTCGAGGCAAAATTTTTGCGTTAAAATGTATCGCTAGTCGGATTTAACGTTAGACGATGCCATCGTTGGTCGAGGGTACACTGTACTCTGATAATTATACTTATGTATACCTGTACCTAAATAAACTTACATACTCTGCTGGCATGCAGATACACCTTAAAATCAGTAAGAGTGTCTTATGTCTTGAGACGTCATATTAGTAATGATAATAATCACCGAGTCTCATTTAAATGTCGTATATTACGTTAATATACACATTTTAATTAATCAATCTATGACATTTTTTCAAAATTATATAATAAAAACGATGCATAACATATAAATATGAGAAATACACCCCACAGTAGAATAAATAAACATAAATATGAGATGTGGTAACAGACGACTTGCGCAAGTGACGCCATATTAGAAATAATAATAATAATAATAATAATAATAATCATCACGGAGTCTCATTAAATGTCGTATATTACGATAATATACACATTTTCATTAATCCATCCATGATATTTTTTTCAAAAATTATATAATAAACACGATACATAACATATAAAGATGATAAATACACCCCACAGTAGAATAAATAAACATAAATATGAGATGTGGTAGCCAGATAACTTGTACAAGTGACGGCAAGAATAACATTTTCTCTAATCTAACATAAGAGAAAATGTGTTACTGGGGGTAACTAGAAAATTATTCCTTTCATATGTATGTAAGTTTATTCAGGTATACACAAATACAGTTACATAGATTATCATACATAACAGCATATGTGTAGAGAACCTGGGATAACCCAAAAAGTCAGTGACTTATTTCCATTGCCTTCACTCAGAGCGTCATTTCTTCTAAAAATGGTGTTACATGAGAATGGGAGTGTTCTTCTTTATTTATTCTACTGTATCTATGTAGAGACAACTTGTACACAATGCAACTTGTACACAAACCAGACGTGTACACTTTGTTTGCTTACAAAACTTACGTTCGCCTAGTTTGTTTACATAACTCTGCGCCTGTCCTTCCTCATGTACTCATTCTCTCTCATTTATTCGTTTTATCTCGTTTACTTACTCCTGACCCTACATTAAGACTACAAATATTTTAAGGTAAGTAATGAGTGAACTGTATATGCATTTTATTGCTCTGGGATGCTTAAATATCATAGAATAGTATGTGTGGGTGGGGTGGCCTGGCTGGCTACCATATATACCACACTTGATTTCTTACAATAAATACTACTCATTTCACCCTAGATTAAGACTACAAATATTTTAAGGTAAGTAATGAGTAAACTGTATATGCATTTTATCACTCTGGGATGCCTAAATGTAATAGAATATTATGTGTAGGTGGGGTGGTCTGGTATGGTAGCTCGGCTGACTACCATACATACCACACTTGATTTCTTACAATAAATACTACTTGTCTCACCCTAGATTTAGACTATAAATATTTTAAGGAAAGTAATGAGTGCACTATGTGTGTATTTTTTTTTATTGTTTTTTGATGCCTAGTTCTATTGCCTGCTACACTCCCTGCATGCCTACTACACTCACTGCATGCCTGCTACACTCCCTGCATGTCCCAGAGTGTTCAAGAAAAACAATGTCCCGTCTCATCACTCATCAACAAGTCCACAATAAAGGTGTCATTTCAGTATTGTTTACTGTGCATATATCATTGTTTTCTATGTTAAGGAAATGTATATTTCATGTGAAAAAAATTATTTTGTTTAATACTTTTGGGCGTCTGGAATGGATTAATTGGATTTCCATTATTTCTTACGAGGAAAATTAATTCGACTAAAGGCTAAATTGGTTAAAGGCTAGCTCTCTGGAACAGATTAAAGGTGTTACCCGAGGGTCCACTGTATATCAATAACACTGACTAGCCAAGGACTCGAAGCCATGTTGTTTTGGCCCACCTCATGGTGAGCAAAAATCACATGATGCTCTATCCCACAGGACCACTCAATCCTACAATAATCAAGCACCCAGAAGAGCTAGGTGTTTTTACCTTGATCAGGACATACGGTGGTGCGGGTGCCTCTGAGTTAATTTCATTCTACTCCCAGTTTGGTTTACTAGCCTCCATAAGCAGTATGTATGTTATTATATCCACGTATGAGTGGTATTTAATCAATAACAGCACTGCGACTAGCCAAGGACTTGAACCCATGTCGTTTTGGCCTGCCTCTTGGCGAGCGAAAATCACATGATGTTCTAACCCACAGGACCACTCAATCCTACAAGAATCAAGCACCCAGCAGACCTGGGTGTCCTAGGTGTTTTTATCTTGATCAGAGGACATATGGTGGTGTGGGTGCCTCTAAGCTAATTTCATTCTACTCCCCGTTTGGTTTACTAGCCTCCACAAGAAGTATGTATATTGTAATCATGAACGAGTGGTATTTAATCAATAACAACACTGACTAGCCGAGGACTCAAACCCAGTGTCATGTGATTTTCGCTCGCCATGAGGCGGGCGAAAATGACATGGGTTCAAGTCCTCGGCTAGTCGCAGCTTTGTTATTGATTAAATACCACTCGTTCATGGAACTGACCACAAAATTTTGGTTATTCTGCAACTCTCCACATTAGTAGGAAAGAAAGTCTAACTACTGGTAGTCTTGATTAAACACACAGTACATGAAGAAGCTATGCAATACTTCTTTATAATAAGAAAATATTGGTTACATTTATCAAGAGGTTACCTATACATTGCGAATAAATTATGTTTGCAATACTGTTGGGTTGTTAAACCTGTAGGGATTATATAGCACCTGGGAAAATAGATTCTCAGGTTTGAACCTGGATCAAGAATCCTTCACCAGTATCAAGGTTACCCCTCTGAAGGATGCAGAAGTGCAGCTTACAAACAAACAAAACAATTTCTTTGTATAATATGCAGAATGTAGTTTACATGTAACAAATATACTATTAAGCACAAAAGAAAACCACTAGCATACATGTGCAGACTAATCCTAATGCTTAAACTACTTAAGTAGATTAAAACCAACAAAATTTAAAAAATTACTCAAGTACTGCCAAAATAGTAGAAGAGACAAATTCTGATCTTCCAGAAACTAGGAAAAATAATACCAGTAAATAATGTATACCTTAGCAAAGAGCTCCGGTCCTGCTTGAGCTGCAAGGATCAGTGCATGTGGGTGTATTCTGTCCTTGATACACAACTCAACAGCGGACTCCAGATCCCCAACTAATAAAGCTTGCGTTATTAAGCCATGGTTGTTTTCCTCTTTCTCCTCAACTTCCAGCTGAATGATTGGCAGACTTGCTTCTGCTTCTGTTTCGCTCACCTAGAATATAATTGCATTTACTAGCAATGTTATAAAAAATTTCAACTAGTTCTTTCTAATATTAAACACAAACCAATAAAGCTAACAGAAAAACGAGTTGAACTTGTACCACTTTGTGGTGACAACCACAGAACAATCAGGAAAGTGGCAGAGGAGCTTATCATCCAAAACTTCTAAAGACTCCTCCAAAAAAATTTATCCAATTTGCTATGCATGAACCAACAAATTCTGAGAACTGGATTTATTGTTCAAGGAGAACAGTCTGATCATCTTCACAAATTTTTCATCTCGTATGACAAATGATTTCACTTTACCTGTGACTTCTCTCTGCTTCCACTTTTACTGACATTTTTTTTTAGCTCCTACCTTACCTGTCTTCTATCTCATCCTATCTTACCCTTCTTACAACCTTGATTTCACCTTGCCTATTTCCTCCATTTTCCCCACTAAATTTTCTTGTTACCCACATTCTTTATAGATGATTCTCAAACTCAAACTCTTCACACCATCTTTTACAGGATCCTTTATGCAGTTCACCTTATATACTGTACATCCTTCAACTTATTAGTTGTACATTTCATCAAAATTCCTCAATCAAAACCCTTGTTCATTGCCTTTTTTTTTTTTTGTAGCTTCCTGCATCACATTTTTATAGAATACGGCATCAATACAAAATATGCTAATTTTTGTACGTACAGTAAAACTTTTAAATACCAGAAGATAAAATAAACTAGTGAATTTTATTAAAAAATTGTCTACAGAATATTCTTTTGTACTCATTAGCAGGGTAAAAACATTCAATCCCCGAATAAATTCACACAGTACCTAAGAACATCATGTGGTCCCTAGTCCATTTCTCAAAGCCAATAAAATTTTATTACTTTCACTAAGTTTGATCTGCATATCTGCTGAGAATATATTAAAATTGTGGAGGGATATGTTGTGTATCTTTATACGTATATGCTTCTAAACTGTTGTGTTCTGAGCACCTCTGCAAAAAACAGTGATTATGTGTGAGTGAGGTGAAAGTGTTAATGATGATGAAAGTATTTTCTTTTTGGGGATTTTCTTTCTTTTTGGGTCACCCTGCCTCGATGGGAGACGGCCGACTTGTTGAAAAAAAAAAATTCCCTTTAGTATTTTTAGCCAATTTAAATTTGAAAAGTGGAGTCCAAGATTATCACATTGAGGCAAAGAACAGAAAAAGATAAATTCACCTCAGTTTCAGGAGTTTTGTCAAATGACTGTCCAGAAGCAATCATTTCAAATTGTTCACTAGGGTCTAGGGAGCTGGTGCTGCCCTCCTGCAAATGTAACAAAATTTAAAATAGTTACACTATGATATAATATGTATATTTAATGAAATTCCAAAAATTTTTAGAAGTATTCAAACCCATCATTGAATAATTAGCACAAGATTCCCTTAACTCTGTAATTTTCTAATTTAAAATACTATACTTACATTAATATTACTGTATTATGCTTGTTATTACAATGTACAGTTGACCCTCAGTATATGCATAGGTTAGGTTCCTGAGGTTACAAATCTTGAGCTGCAGATACTAGCAAATTTATGCCTGAATCTAAATTCTTCTCATTTTACATGTATATAGCTAAATTTCCATGGATTTTGACCATATTTCTTAAGAACATAAGAAAGGAGGAACACCGCAGGAGGCCCGTTGGCCCACACTAGGCAGGTCCCTTACAATTCATCCCACTAACAAAACATTTGCCCAACCCAATTTTCAATGCCACCTAAGAATAAGCTCTGATGTGAAAGTCCCACTCAAATCCAACCCCTCCCACTCATGTACTTATCCAACCTAAATTTGAAACTACCCAAAGTCCCAGCCTCAATAACCCAACTAAGTAGACTGTTCCACTCATCAACTACCCTATTTCCAAACCAATACTTTCCTATGTCCTTTCTAAATCTAAACTTATCTAATTTAAATCCATTACTGCGGGTTCTCTTGAAGAGACATCCTCAAGACCTTATTAATATCCCCTTTATTAATACCTATCTTCCACTTATACACTTCGATCAGGTCTCCCCTCATTCTTCGTCTAACAAGTGAATGTAACTTAAGAGTCTTCAATCTTTCTTCATAAGGAAGATTTCTAATGCTATGTATTAATTTAGTCATCCTACGCTGAATGTTTTCTAACGAATTTATGTCCATTCTGTAATATGGAGACCAGAACTGAGCTGCATAATCTAGGTGAGGCCTTACTAATGATGTATAAAGCTGCAGTATGACCTCTGGACTTCTGTTGCTTACACTTCTTGATATAAATCCCAGTAATCTATTTGCCTTATTACGTATGCTTAGGCATTGCTGTCTTGGTTTAAGGTTGCTGCTCACCATAACCCCCAAGTCCTTTTCGCAATCTGTATGGCTAAGTTCTACATCATTTAACTTATAAGTACTAGGGTTATGGGCACTCCCAAGCTTCAGAACCTTGCATTTATCTACATTGAACTGCATCTGCCACTTTTCTGACCAAGAATAGAGTTTGTTTAAATCCTCCTGAAGTTCCATAACATCTACGTTTGAATCAATTATCCTACCTATCTTTGTGTCATCGGCGAATTTGCTCATATCACTAGTAATTTCCTCATCAAGATCATTGATATATATTATAAACAATAACGGGCCCAAGACTGATCCCTGTGGAATGCCACTTGTTACAGATCCCCACTCGGATTTAACCCCATTTATGGACACACACTGCTTCCTGTCAGTGAGCCATGACTCGATCCACGAGAGCACTTTTCCCCCAATGCCATGAGCTGCCACTTTCTTTAACAGTCTATGGTGCGGAACTCTATCAAAAGCCTTACTAAAATCTAAGTAAATAATATCAAATTCTTTATCGTGGTCAACAGCCTCAAAAGCTTTACTGAAGAAAGTTAATAAATTAGTTAGACAAGACCGGCCTCTTGTGAATCCATGCTGAGTATCATTAATCAAGCTATGCTTATCGAGATGGCTTCTTATAATCTCAGCTATAATTGACTCTAGTAATTTGCCTACAATTGAGGTCACGCTTATTGGGCGGTAATTTGACGGTAACGACTTGTCCCCTGTTTTAAAAATAGGAATTACATTAGCCATCTTCCACATATCAGACACTACACCTGTTTGAAGAGATAAATTAAAAATATTAGTTAATGGTTCACAGAGTTCCATTTTGCATTCCTTAAGAACCCTTGAAAAAACCTCATCAGGACCCGGCGACTTATTTTGCTTCAGTCTGTCTATCTGCTTCACAACCATTTCACTAGTGACTGTGATGTTACATAATTTATCTTCTTCTAGCCCACTATAAAAATTAATTACTGGAATATTGTTAGTGTCTTCCTGTGTAAAAACTGAGAGAAAATAATTATTAAAAATCGAGCACATTTCATTCTCTTTGTCAGTAAGGTGCCCATAGTTATTTTTAAGGGGACCTATCTTATCTCTAACTTTTGTTCTATAGACCTGGAAAAAACTTTTTGGGTTAGTTTTAGAATCCCTAGCAACTTTAATTTCATAGTCCCTTTTAGCTTTTCTTATCCCCTTTTAATGTCCCTCTTAATGTCAATATACTGATTCATAAGATGACCCTCACCTCTTTTGATACACCTATAAATTCCTTTCTTATGCCCTAGTAGATATTTGAGCCTATTATTCATCCATTTTGGGTCATTTCTATTTGATCTAATTTCTTTATATGGGATAAACGTTCTTTGAGCAGCATGAATAGTGTTCAGAAAACTGTCATATTGATAGCTCACTTCGTTACCCCAGTCAACAGATGATAAGTGTTCTCTAAGACCATCGTAATCTGCTAAGCGAAAATCTGGGACTGTTACTGAGTTATCGCTACTATCGTACTTCCATTCAATGCACCACCTTCTCTTAGCTGGAGACTTCAACATCAACCTTGGCTTACTAGAAGATCAGCCTGTAACTGATTTCATCAACAATATGAACACACTTCTCATACCAACAATAACTAAACCAACCAGGCTCACTGAGACAAGTGCAACCATAATAGACCACATATGGACCAATATACTAGCCCCCCTTAAATCAGGGATAATCACAGATAGCACTACAGACCACTACCCTACCTTCCTCCTGACAAACATTAATAAACCACCACTTGAATACAACAAAGTCTCATTTAGACTCCATGACGAGGCCTCAATAAGGAAGTTCACAACTGACCTAGAGATTGTTGACTGGCCTACAGAATTCTCCAAGGCCAATGGTATTGATGACTGGACAGACATTTTTCTTAACAAATTACTTAGACTATACAACAAACATTGTCCTATAAAAAACGAAACAGATCACAAACAAACGGCTTGGTTGCCCATGGCTAACCAGCACCATTCTGAAATCCATTGACAAGAAACACCAATATGAAAAGCAATATAGACAGGGCTTAATCACAAAGATATTCTTAAACACTATTCATCAGTTCTCACCAAAGTAATAAAAAAGCCAAACAACTATACTACTCCAGTAGATTCACAGACACTAGAGGAGATATAAAAAAGACCTGGAAAACACTCTCTCAGATTCTAGGGACCCACAAACTGAAAAAAAACCAAGAATATTGTCCTAACTAAACCTAATGAAACACCACTACATCCCACTGACACAGCTAACAAGATAAACGACTTCTTCTCAACCATAGGATCTAATCTCGCCAATAAAATCCCACATACTAATGCCCATGCCGGGAACTACCTAGATGGGAATTTCCCAAATTCCTTCTATCTTGCACCAACTGAGCCCTCGGAAGTCACCGAGATTATAAAGTCACTTAAAAACAACTCAGGGAATCTGTCTAATGTCCCACCATTACTGTACAAGCGAGCGGCCCATATCCTTTCGCATGCTATTTCATTACTTTTTAACAAGTCACTAGAAACTAGCACCTTCCCGAAACTACTCAAGATGGCAAGGGTTACACCAATACATAAAGGTGGTGACCCTACAGACTTAAACAACTATAGGCTAATATCAAACTTACCATTGCTATCCAAAATCTTTGAGAAACTCATTTACAGGAGACTATATTCATTTATAACAGCACAAAACATACTCAACCCCTGCCAATTTGGATTTAGGAAAAATAAAAGCACTAATGATGCAATCATAAAAATGCTAGATCTGCTTTACACAGCATTGGAAAATAAGGAATATCCACTAGGAATTTTTATTGACCTAAGAAAAGCTTTTGACACAGTAGACCACGACATCCTACTCCACAAACTTGACCATTACGGTATAAGAGGCCATGCGCTTGCTTATTTCAAATCTTACCTTACTAATAGGTATCAGTATGTTACCATTAAAGACACAGCATCAACAACACGGGCCACTTGATACTGGAGTTCCGCAGGGAAGTGTCCTTGGTCCCCTGCTCTTCCTCATATACATCAATGATCTTCCAAACGTATCCCAACACCTGAAACCATTCTCTTTGCTGACGACACGACTTATGTCATCTCTCACCCTAATCTTGCCACCCTCAACACCATTGTTAACGAGGAGCTGATCAAAATATCGACTTGGATGACAGCCAATAAACTTACGCTTAACACTGACAAAACCTACTTATTATGTTTGGTAGCAGAGCAGGAGATGCACAAATTAACATTAAGATCGACAACACTAATTACCAGACATAATGAGGACAAATTCCTAGGCCTATACCTTGACAACAACCTGAATTTCAGCACCCATATCCAACACATAACCAAAAAAGTATCCAAAACAGTTGGGATCCTCTCCAAGATACGATACTACGTGCCGCAAAATGCCCTTCTCACACTATTACCACTCACTTATTTTTCCATACCTCACCTATGCTATTTTGTGCTTGGGGATCAACTGCAGCAACACACCTAAAACCAATAATAACCCAACAAAAGCTGCAGTAAGAATAATCACTAAATCCATCCCTGGCAACACACCCCCCCACTCTTCATAGATCTAAACTTACTCCCTGTTCAGTACATCCACACTTACTACTGTGCAATCTACATCTACAGGACCTTAAACTCCAATATCAACCTTGACCTAAATGCTTTCTTGATAGTTGTGACAGAACCCACAGGCATAACACCGACACAAACATCTCTACGACATTCCCGTGTCCGACTAACCTTTACAAAAATTCAATGTATGTCAAAGGCCCTAAAATCTGGAACACCCTACCTGAGAACTCTAGAACTGCAGACACATTCATCACCTTCAAAACTACCATTAGAAAAACATCTTATCTCCCTGATAAA